GGAAGCGGTGGACGGCGCGAGCGCCGGGCGCGCGGGGAAGAGGCCCGGGAGCCCGGGGTAGGTCTGGGCAGAGGCGGGGGTGCGCGAGAGGCTTGGGGCGGAGCAGAAGGGGCTCCGGGCCAGGGCGCCCGTGCTTTATAGCAGTGGCGTTTCAGGGCTGGGGCGACCCTGCTCTCGGGGTGAGCCGGAAAAGGCGCAGACACGGGGCCCCAGCGGGGTCCCAACGTGCTGGGTTCCGGGTTCCAGCGTCCTTTCTCGGCTCCTTTCACCAGGACTGCGGCGGATGGCGCAGTTTGCCCCCCCACCCCTGGGGACAATCTGGGGCTAAGAAAGCAACTACAACTTGTGCCACCCAGTCCACCTGCCGAGACCGCAGGGGGCGAGCCGGATGCCTGCCCGTTGTCCTCTGACCGTGGCCACGCGGAGTGGGTGGCCAGGCAGGTGGTGTGGAGGGGTTCGGACGCAAACAAAGCCTGGGTGGCAAGTTTTCACGGTTACCATAAGGGGACTAGGTAAAATCTTGGAAACAAAGAAGCGCTGGTAAAGCGCTGGCAGCCCGTGTTGTTTTGGGGTTTCCTACACCCCCATCCTAAAGTCCAGACACGTCAAGAATCCTTGCTGAACTTTCGTTTCCTCAGCTGGGTGGCCTGGAGGCAACAGGATGCACGAGGAGGAAGATGTTCGGAAAGCTGGAAGTGAGGCATCGCTGCTTTGGGGCTGCACCCTCCACTCCAAGGAACAGCAGCCTGACTGGGTTAAAGACAAAGTACTAGGGGGTTCAGTAGCCCCTGGCCCAAAGTAGCCCCTTTCTTCATCTCCTCTGAACAGCATCACAAAAGTGTCCCTCGGGAGGCTGGGACTTTGCTTTTCTTTAGGGCCCAGGACCTGGAGGGAGGAGGCCTCCCCAGGTGGTGACTCTGGGGAATGGATTTGGTTAGACATTTTTCTCCACAACCACATTTAACTTCAAAAACAGTGTTGGCCTTCTAAAGGGTTTTTGGTTTGTTTTTTTCATTCTTGTTAGGAAACTGGGGAAATGCTGTCAGAGTCCATGAGATGATAAACATTCAAGACTTATAAGCATTTCCATTTGAATGGTCTTCAAACAAGGTGTTGATGTTTCAGAAATGAGATTGTCAGCCTTTTCTTCTCCAGCTTCTGGGGGAACTCAAAGCACTAACCTTTAATGAATGGCTGAGAGCACCAACTATTTGCACTACCCAGGGCCTCCTTAAATGGCCAATGTGTGTCCCCTCCCCCCAAAAACCAACCAGCAAACAAAATATCCACTGCTGTTCAGTTGATTCTGAGGCATCGCCACTCTATACAAAGTCCCCGAGACTCTTTACAGGAATAAGCAGCCTTGTCTCTTCATCCTTGCCCCACAGATCTTGTGGTTAATGGACCAGCAGGGCTTTTGTTAGCAGGAAGCAGAGGTAAAGAAAGACTCCATGGCTGAGCAATACATGTTTGCCCATCCATCTGAAAAAAGAACAACAACAGCAACACACACACATCAGACAAAACAAAGACAAGAAAACCAAACCTACTGCTAGCAAGTCCAGTCTGACTCACAGTGACTACAGGATGTTAGGGGTTCAGAGGCTGTATGGGAGCAGACAGCTCGTCAGTTTCCCTAGTGGCTTCAAACCAATGGCCTTGTAGTTGGCAGCACAGCCTCCAACATGTAACCAGCCCAAGGCGCCACCGTGGCTCTTTCCAGTCTGACGGCACATAAATATAGCACTGACCATCTTGACTAATTGCCCTTGTTACTAAATTTGGACTCGTATTTCAAAATAGAAAGGACAGATCATGTGGCTGGTTGTAACGGTTACTGGTAACTTGCAAGCGGTTCTTGGTTATGCATGGCCAGCCGACCCCGAGGCAGTGAGTTTCAGTGAGATACTGGTTTTGTCCATTTTCATGAAAAGGAGTGGAAGGCTTTTAGGGAGTGAAAGAAAACAAAGCCCAGTACTGTTGAGTGGGTTCTGACCTCTAGTGTCCTAACAGGACAGAGGACAACGGTCCGAGGGGCTTCCAGGAGCGTCATGTTTATGGGACTGCAACTTCCTCCCATGGAGAGGCTGCCACCAGGATTCCTTAGCTGTGCTCTGCTCCACAGAACTGCAGATGTTCCTAATAATTCGGGGATAACAAAGCTAGTTTGTACCGAAGGCCATGGGCCGGGCAATGGTAGCTCATGTTACAACTCATTTGATTCTCACAGCAAACTTGCAAAGAAACTGAAAATAGAGAGGTAAATGCCTCGGTCCTGGTCCCACCGCACACAGCTTTCTCCTGAAGCGGTGTGTCTGGTCACACAGCACACGGTCATTGCTTTCTCTTCCAACTGGCCTAAACATGACCGAGTGCCGGCACTGTGATTTATGCCAGACATAGAGGTTTGGTGGTGGTGGTGGTGGTGGTGGTGGGGCTCCAAAGTAAGGTTCTGCCCCCCGCACCCCCACCCGGAGGAGTCTGTTTTCCTCATCTAGAAAGTACTGATGATGATCTCATATCAACAGGGGTTCTTTATTTTATCAAAAAATGATGAAGTGTGAATGCCACAGTGAACTACTTCTCAGGTTGTAAGAGGAAGTGTCGGATTTGATATGAGGCGAGCGGGTCCGTGCCAAGGGAGGGGAGTGGATATAAATGACACCGTTCCTGGAGAAGTGATTTTAAAATGCCGTTCTGCTGTGACTGGGTGCCGAGCTTTACATGCACTAGAAGAAATCGAGGTGTATTTTAGACAGCAAAGTGGCTGCTAAGACCCACTGCTAGCTGGTGTTATCTAGTTGATTGTAGGTGGTGAAAATTGGAGGTGAGAAATTTCCTTTGTTTGTCTACTCACAATCTTCTGTACTGTTTTCTCCAGGAAGCGATCATGGAAGAGAAGACTGGATGAATCAAAACAACTGAGTCCTAGAAACCTAGGTAAGCCCTTTCAGATTCTTGTGGTATTTGGCAATCATTCTTAGAAGATGGCTTTCGGGGCAAATAGTTTTCATGTAGTAGGGATGGAGGCTTGAACTTAAAAAGAAAAAACCAAAAACGCTTTGCTGTGAATTAGGCGAGGGTTTACTTTATTTTTGCATTCGACGGCTTATCAAACCTCCCAGTGGCTTTCCCCCCACCCCTCCTCCTATTGGCTATTTGGAGCCCCATCACCCAAGTGCCCCCCTGTCTGCCTTCTACTCTATTGCTCCCCTCCCTGCCATTACCGCCCACGATCAAAGTCTATTTCTTTTGGCCTGAAAACTTTTCCTTGATTTGTTTTTTTCATTAAAATGTCTCTTGCGGGGGTCTCATGCAATATTTGCCTTTTTGCGACTGGCTAACAGCTTCACTCAGCACAGTGTCCTCTAGTTGCATCCATATCACGAGGGGCTCACAGGTGCGTCGTTATTCGTTAATGTTTTTTTTTTAATCGTTTTATTAGGGGCTCATACAACGCTTATCACCATCCATACACACATCCATTGTGTAAAGCACATTTGTACATGCACTGCCCTCATCATTGTCAAAACATTTGCTCTCCACTTAAGCCCCCGGCATTAGGTCCTCATCCGCCCCCCCCCACCCATGAGCCCTTGATAATTTATAAATCATTATTTTGTCATATCTTGCCCTGTCCGACGTCTCCCTTCACCCACTTTTCGGTTGTCCGTCCCCCAGGGAGGAGGTCACATGTAGATCCTTGTAATCGGTTCCCTCTTCCAACCCACTTTCCCTCTACCCTCCCAGTATCACCACTCACACCACTGGTCCTGAAGGGATCATCCACCCTGGATTCCCTGTGTTTCCAGTTCCTTTCTGTACCAGTATACATCCTCTGGTCCAGCCAGACTTGCCAGGTAGAATTCGGATCATGATAGTGGGGGTGAGGGGAGTGGAAACCCAAAGCCCATTTGTAGACCACTGGAGATCCCCTTGCATTGGAATCTCGGGGAGGAGACAGGAGATGAGCCAGTTATTTGTTAATGTTGGGTGGTCTCCCCTGGTGTGTAAGGGCCTAAGCTGTTCATCCATTCTCCCATTGGTGGGCATTGAGATGGTTTCCATCTTCTTGCTGTTGTGCACAGTGCTGCCATGATACCCGGATGTGCATATTATTATCACTTCTGCAGGGTACATACCAAAGAGAGGGGCTGCGGGGCCCTATGGTATTTTTAGTCCCAGCTGTTGAGGCAGTGCCACACCACTCTCCACAGTGGTTGCCTATTTCACAGTCCCACCAGTAGCGAATGGGGGAGCCAATCTCTCCACACCACCCCTTCACCCCCCACCCGCACGACAGCAATTGCTGTTTCTGCCTTTTGGCGCTTTGCTATTGATTCCAGGAGGAGGTGGCTCCCACAGTTGTTTTGATTGGATTGGCTCATGACCGAGAGCGTTTCTTCCTATGCTTGTTGGCCGCCTGAATGTCCTCTTTGCTGAACTTGAGCTTTGATTCGTGCATGCACATGTATTCGTTAAAAGGCTTTCTCCGGGTGGGGCCAACTGTTCCTCAGTTTGCCACTGATCTTGGCTACCAATCAAAAGGTTGGCTGTTCACTCCACCCAGAGACTCCTTGGAAGACAGGCCTGGTGAACAAAAGATCAAGGCCATTGCAAACGGAACGGCATGGAGCCACGTTAAACTCTGGCACCTGGGTCGCCTCCGGTCAGCGTGGACAAAGGGCAGCTGCTGTTGGTTTGCTTGTTTCTCTGTACCACCGGTCTGTCCCCTTCCACAGCAGTTGTGGGTTACCCCAAACCGAAATGCTAGACAGGAAGTAGTTTCCATTCACCCCTCCCCCACCCCCAGCTTCTGCTGTTCCTGCCCTACATTCCCATGGTGCATTTGCTAGAATTGAGGAACAAATACTGCTACCTTAGGATTAAATGGGCCCATAGTTCACATTCGAGGTCACTCTGTCACGCTGTCCTATGGGGCTGGGTGACGGCTCAGTGCCGTGTGTTCACTGTGGAGCATACTGGAGTGTTTCACCAACCCGAGGTGCAGACATGTAGTTTAAAGGTATTATTGTTAAAATATGGCATCCATTGTCAAGGCATCTGAACTGTCCTGAGGAGAAAGACTTCATGCTTGGGAAGGGAGAGGGTCAATGAAAGGGAGACCCTCAGGTGTAAGGCATCATCAGAACAAAAATCTTACCATAGTGAATGATGGGGGGAGTGCGGAGTGGAGATCCAAAGCCCATTAGTAGGCCACTGGAGATCCCCTTGCAGAGGGGTCTCGGGGAGGAGATGAGCCAGTCAGGGTGCGATGTAACAATGATGAGAAATACAACTTTCCTCTAGTTCCTAAATGTTTCCTCCCCGCTCCCACTACCATGACTCGAATTCGACCTTGCAAGTCTGGCTAGACCAGAGGATGTACACTGGTACAGATAGGAACTGAAAATACAGGGAATCCAGGACGGATGAGTCCTACAGGACCAGTGGTGTGAGTAGCAAAACAGGGAGGGTAAAGGGAGAATGGGTAGGAAAGAGGGAACCGATTACATGGAACTGTGTGTGACCTCCTCCCTGGGGGACAGACAACCAAAAAGTGGGTGAAGGGAGACGTCAGACAGGGCAAGATATGACAAAATACCCATTTATAAACTATCAAGGGCTCATGCGGGAGGGGGGAGCGGGGAGGGAGGGGGAAAATGAGGACCTAATGTCGGGGGTTTAAATGGAGAGAAAATGTTTTGGGAAACGATGTACAAATGCGCTTTACACAATGGATGTGTGTATGGATTGGGATAACAGTTGGATGAGCCCCTAATAAAATGTTAAAAAAAGGGAAAAAAAAGAATGGGAGACCCTCAAGGAGACGATTGGCCCCGTGGCTGCAGCCGTGGGCTCGGGCACAGGAACGATGTGAGAACGCTGCAGAACCAGCAGTGTTTTGTTCTGTTGTGTGTAAGGTCACTATGGGTGGGACCCTGCTCGATGGCACCTAACCACAAAAAGCAGCCCTGGTAGCGTAGTGGGTTATGTGTTGCACAGTCAGCAGTTCAAATCCACTGCTGTTCTGTGGGGGGAAAGATTCCGGCTCTCTGCTCCTGTGAAAACAGACGGCGTCGGAAACCCAAAGGGGCATGGTACTCAGTCCTGGAGGATTGCTATCAGTCGGAATTCACTTGATGGCCTTGGTGGGTTACGACCTCTATGAGCAGGAGCCCTGGTGGCAAAGTGCTTGGCTACCAATCAAAAGGTTGGCGGTTTGAGCCCCACCAGCTACTCTGTAGCACAAATGGAGGCCATGTGCTTCTGTAAAGCCCACAGCCTTGGAAATGCTGGGAATCCTGGGGCAATGAGTTCTGTCCTATCTGCCTGCTCACTATGAATGGAATCAACTAGATGGCAAAGCTGCTGACCTGGGTGGGCATATAAGCAGCTGACTGCTCTCCGACTCACCCAAAGCTGGCAGTTCCAGCCCACCTAGAAATGCCAGGGAGAAATGCTTGGCAGTCTGCTTCTGCAAGTGCCTGGCAACCGCGGAGTCCTGAGTTCGAGGAGAACTGCACTCCTCCAAGTGTTCAGTGGCTGGTTTGTCAGAATGAGGGTTCAGGCCTTTTGTCAAAGGCATTTGGAAAGACTCTTCTGTAGAGAGAGCTGGGCTATCTCAGCACAGCAGCAAATAGCAAGGCAGGTCACCAACTGTCAGCCAGGTCACCAACTGTCAGTCCCCAGCTCCAGAGATGTAAATTTCAATTGTGTGGTCTTAAAGGGACCTCAACGTACAGCGACACAGTCCATATAGGCTAGGCGTCCCACAGGTTGTGTAGCCTGTAAATGGAGGCACAGAACAAGCAAGGCAGCCGCACACTGGTCCGATGATCAAAGAGCGAGAGACAAGAAAGGTGAGGCTCACCGAGCCGTTTATCTCTCCACCTTTCAGTTAATCCCACTTGTGTTTATCAGCCGGGCTGGCACCATAAACTAACTATCTCAGTACCATACACGGCCAAAAGACTCACCACATCTGTCTTGGAGCAATGCTCGTTAGAGGCAAGGATGGTAAGACTTTCTTTCACGTACTTTGGACACATCAAGAGAGACCAGGCCCTGGGGAAGACCATCATGCTTGGTAAAGCAGAGGGGCAGCAAAAGAGAGGAAGGGCCTCTAACAGATGGACGGACACAGATGGACGGCTGCCACAATGGACTCAAGGACAGGAACAATGGCGAGGAGGGTGCAGGACCGGCAGGGTTTCACTCTGTTGTGCGTTGGGTCACTATGGGTTGGAACCAACTAGAAGACACCTCACACCGGCAGTATAAGGGGAGCCGTTCAAATGCACTGCTCCCTGGGAGAAAGAGGGGGCTGTTCCAGCAAAACGCTACCATCTCAGAACCCTAGAAGCAAAGGCTTCCAGTGGGTTCCAAAGGGTTGCTGAGTCAGAATGGACTCGTTGGCCGTGGGAGCCAAGACGTGCAGGGGGAGGCCCTTCCGGAAGCTGCTCAAAGGCCTAATCCTGCATGTCTACCACAGGGGCTACTGCAGACCACCTCTGTTCAACAACTCCGAGCCCGGGCCTCCTTCCCCATGGCCGATTTCCTTTCAAGTCCACGTGGGACCATGGAAAGGGAACTTACTTTCGTTGAGCCCCCCTGAGTTGCATTTATTTATATGGTCTGTGTTGTCTTTTCTGCCGACTCCCTTTGCCTCTTCTGAGCACACGTGAGCTGAGGGTGGTTTCTCCAGGGGATGAGCAGCTCAGCTCTGATACAGGTCTACCTCACCCTGTCAGTACCCCCCTCCCCCCATGCTTTCTCAGCTCCAGCACTTGCTCAACCTTTGGAACTTGATGGCCTCATGGCTGCCCAGGCGATACCGATGACGCAGTGACCCTGCGTGCCTGGGACAGAGTGGCTCTGCCCCTGTGGCTGATCTAGGCTGTGAACTTGACAGAAGCCGGAGGGACAGCTTTCTTCTG